CTCCATTCCCAACCCCAACCATAACCCTCACTTCGACCCCAGGTCTATCTGGAGTTCAACCACCTTTACCGCTGGCATGCGCTCGTTGCCGATTCGCTTGACTTGGGTGGTGGCGCTGAGGTCGCCTTCCGTGACTTGCTTTGGGACCCCACCACATTCCGTACACATGGCGTCCATGGCATTGCAGCTGCCCTGCACCGGACTCGCGCAGCTGCACTCGCGCCGCAGAACACGCCGTCCTACTTGCGCGACATCACGATGAAGACGATTCAAGATGAACGCGCACAGCGCATGCGCTCCTTCAATGCATACCGGACGCACTTTGGGCTGAGGCCATTGAGAAGCTTTGACGATTTCGGGACCTCGCCCGAGATACGCGCCGCCCTTGCCGCTCTGTACCCAACAGTTGACCATGTTGACTTTTTCGTCGGAATCATGGTCGAGCAGATATACGAAGACCCCTCTACCTCGTCATTCTCTGAAGCCATGCTGCAGATGGTTGGCGCGTTCGCGCTCTCCGCCATACTCAACTTCATTCACGTACGCGACCCTGCCATGTCGTCGGTCGAGCGGCTATCGCAGGCGGGTGTGGAGTATCTCAGAAACGCATCCTTGCGCGCTCTCCTGTCGAAGCATGCCGGACTCGAGGAGCAGCTACCGTGCGGGACCCCCCTCCTCGTTCCAGACGCACCCGGTGCCTCACTATGCCCTTCGGACTTCATTGACGCACCGAAAGGCTGGGCCTTTCACAACATCTTCGACTTCGTCGCGATCGACGAGGTCGCCGACTCCTTTTTCACCGACGAGTACTTTGGCAACGTCTTCATGGTGCAGCTCGCCTGCTTCCTCATCATCTTTGCCCTCTTCTTCACTGTCAATTCCCTCTTCGTTGTCTTCCAGAGGGGATTCCGCAAGCTTGAGGTGACTGTCACGCAAGCTTGAGGACACGAACATCACCGACTTGACGTCACTTGACTGACTTGACTGGCAGGTGTTCGAGCGATACCGCCGCGTCTTCGGTGTCTCGAACATCCTCGTCCTTCTCACCACCCTCATCCCGTACACATACTACATACTGAGGTCGCTCTTTGGTCCAGACCTGCTGGAGACAATTCAGCAAGACTATGTCTGGATATTCGGCTTTTTTCTGCTACACGGCTGCATCTACCTTGTCGAGGTCTGCTCACGGCTGATCTTCTTCCGCACAGGTTGGATGCTCTTATTTCATCACACGCTCTGGGTGGTCCTCATCTTTGTGGCTGCAGCCACCCGCTCTGTATTCATGGTGAAGGTCGATCTCATTCTGGATGGGTTCGTGAACTATGAGTTCGGCCTCTTTGTTGCTACCTTCCTTCGCCGCACTGGCGCCTCGCTGGTGTGGCGAAAGCGCTCAATCGTGTGGGGGTGCGCCCTCTTCGCAGTGACTCGCGTTCTCCAGCTCCTCGTCCTCTTCTACCTCTTTATTGGCTCCGCGAAACGAATGGTGCGGCACCTTCATCTCTCCATGGGCCAGAGAGCCCCAGCCTCGAGCCTGACGCATCCCGAAGCCACAGACCACATCCTAGCTCACTCCACCCATGCCGAGGTTAGTCCACACACCCTTAGCTCACCCAAAAACACAAAACACGGGCGTCATCTACCTTCATCTTTATCTAGCTTGGCCCCATTCACCGCTCCCCCGCCCGTGTGCGGTACTTCAGGTGCACAATGGGGGACAGAAGGACCAGTTCGTCTTCTTCTTTGCGCTGATTTGTGCCGTGATACTCAACGCGCTGCAGCTGTACACGTTACAGATATATCGCGTCATGTGCGTCACGCAAATGGAGCTCATCCTCGCCCTCACCCTCCGCGTAGCCCGCACCCTCACCCTCGGACCTCCCTCTCCGCCTCTATCCCCCGTCGCCCTCCCCTCTCCCCCTCTCCCCCTCCCGTTCCCTCTCCCTCCTCTCCCCATCAGCCCCATACGGCTCTACCACCCCCACCCCCATACCACCCCCACTCTCCCCCTTCCCCTTCCGCCCCCGCTTTCACCCAGGTATCTTTCAGATTGCAAGCGTGAGCAGGAGCTGACAGGGACGGTGGCGGCAGAGGCGGAGGGGCTGCGGCTGCACCTCTCGAGCTGCAGCTTCACCGGCTACAAGGGCGTGCGGAAGGACGTGCGGAAGGAGCGCCCTGGCCGCTTCGAGGCGTACCTGGCCAGGGTGGACGGAAGGCAGGTCGGCCTCGGCACCTTCGGCACGGCGGTGGAGGCGGCGGTGGCGTACGCGCGGGCGGTCGGCGAGGCGCCGGAAGCGCCAGTCGAAGAGCAGCAGGCTTAGTTTCAACGCTCAATAGATCCGAGGGGCATCTTTGCACGCGCGCGCATCTACACCGACCTCCTCGGGACCAACGCGTCGGCACCCCTGACGGAGGCCGAGGGGGAGGGGGGGGCGTCCGGCGCGTGGCCACGTATGCGCGTGGGCACGCGGGCGCTGTGACCACACGAGACATCGTCGAGGGCGCAGCCCGGTGGCCGGTGGCGCGGTGGCGGCGGGCGGGTGGAGCTACAGTTAGGCGATGCAGGTATGCACAATTCACGAGTATGTTCAGCGGGCGCCGCGTGTGGGGCCCTGTTGGAGTTGGTACAGACAACAGAGTAGAGTATACAGAGCACTAATATACGTATCGCCCTTCTAGCTCTTAGCAATGAGCTGCGCCCTGTGTCCGACCCCTTTTGCGCAGCAACACCATATGTCCATATCCATAAACTTTAGGCCCTCCAAAATTCGGGTCGGAGCGTAGCGGAGAGGGCCCCGAGTTTGAAAAGGGCGACGGACGCTTGCGTCCTAGCCTCCAACAAGCGCAACAACGCCTCCCCGGCGCAGAGCGGGCCCCCGGAGCGGATGCACAACCGCTCCTCGCCACGCCGCGCTTGCGGCGGTCCTCTTCCCAGCTTCCGCTGAGGGCCCATGCGTTATTTCTTTAATTAATCGTTGAGCAGCGACGGCATCGCTCCGAGCGCCTCTTCGACCCACACGACGTACCTAAACTAACATCCAGGGCTCCAGGGCCCAGGGGGCTAAAACGTAAAAGGAGCACACCCAGGACCCAGCCCGGGCCATCTGCAGATCATATCGGCGATCGGGATCGGGTTGCGGGCAAGCTTAGGGTACCCCTAGGCTTTCAGCTCTAGCACGCGTCCCCTATGCGAGTATGGCTCCTGGTCCTGCCAGTGCACCAGACTTACAGATAAGGACGACGATAAATATTGAATATATTGCTGCAATAGTTAGAGATGCGATCAATATCAATACAGAGGGCACCCACCTCCCTCCATCCCGAGCAGCGCTCCCGCCATTTCGAGAAGGTATCAGACACGCCTCTCATACTGTAGAGCCGTACGATACCGTACAGAGAGCCTCACGACCGCACCCCCCTGTATATGACCTACCGCACCCGTACCCGGCTACCGCCGCCGCGTGCGACGTACGTGGCGCCGCTGGCCATCTCGGCTGCTGCCGCCGCCCCTCTCGACGCCGCTCCCCTCGCCGCCGGTATCGACCGCGCCGCCGACGTTGGTCGCGCTGGACGGCAGCGCGTCCCCAGTCTCGCCGTCGCTCTTCTCGCCGTCGCTCGCCTCGCCGCTGGTATTAGGGGCCGCGCTGCCGGCGCCGAGCGTCACCTGCCTCCACGTCTCTTCCTCTAAGGAGAGGAGAGGCTCGGCGTCCGGGTAGCCGTCGTACTCGACCGCATCCACACGAGCCGGCCGCCCGAACCCTCCTCCCGCCACGTGATGGTGGCCGGCCACCACCCCTGCTCGCCTAGGATCTCGACGTGCGTGCCTATCTCGATGACAGCGTGCCCGGCCAGCCTCGCCGTCGCGTCCACGCGCAGCCGCTCCGCCGCGCCTCCTGCCGCTCCGCGGGCTGCCGCAGCACGTAGTGTCGGCCGTACTCCGCGCCACCCGCGAGGACGTCAGCCGCTCACCGTCTCGACCGCCGCCTCGATTGGCGGAGGGGCTCGACCCGTCGTTCCGCGACCTCCTGGAGTCCTGGTGCGCCGCCCGTCTGCGCTCCACCAACGACGCCGTCGCTGTCCTCGCCGACGTGTCCATCCCAGGCCGCCCATATACCCCCCCTGACCCCCCCTCCCTCTGGACGCGTCCACCCTACGTCCAACATTCGCATCCCCAAAAATACATACATATTTACAAAGACGCAATTTACCATTCCCGAACTACCTTGTCGAGAGAGCCGGAACGTCTGCAGGAAGGTGGACGGACGGCTCTTCATGGCAGGTGAGATGCGAAGTGTGCTGTCGCAAAGACATGGGCGTGTTGCGCGGTGTGTGCGTAGCTCCGTGTCGAAGGGACAACCCACCCGTGCCGATGTGTTGTTACCTTCATGCCGATATCGAGCACAGTGCTTGATGGCTGCACGGGCTGAGAAGCCGCTGATGACGGGGGCTCATCATGAGCTGGGACGGTGCACCCACGGAGCATGCTTGCTCGGGACACGAGAACAATCTCTGCACTCTGGTACCGTGTAAGGATGGGACTCGGAGGCGTTGATTTGGACTGTATCGTTCGTAGCCGAGCTCGTACGCCATCACCCTCCATGAACGCCTCTGAATGCCACAGAACTTCACAAACTCTGGGTAGCATCAGGTCGGTCCAAGCTTGCCTCTCACCTGCCGCGCCGCTTCGGATCCCTTGCATCCGCAGCCAGTCAGCATGCAGAGCCACGGTAAGTCTTTCGCTGCAGTCGGACGCTGCGTCCAACATTCAACCAGATGCCGGTCCCTGGCGCCACCGAAAATCAGGTGCCAACGCCAGGCTTTTCCTCGCCGTGTCACCAAGATATTCAAATCTACACGGCGAGAGGTTGCAAACAGTGAATATGAGGTGCGACCTGCGGCATCCTTTTAGCGACGCCGACTGTGGGCCTGCTACACCAACGGTTACAGCCCCAGCCAGCCCCGTCAGCCACCCCTCACCCGCCACCGACCCTGAAGCCGCACCCGTCGCTAACCCTCGCCGTGCCCCCCGAGTTCGAGCGATATGGTCCGATTACGTGCCGAGCGAGCAGGCGAGGGAGATCGGAGACGATCGGGGAGCGCGATGCGTACTTGCCCTCGATGTTGACCCTCCCCCACCACCACTCTCCCCGGACGACGCCGCTCTCGCATCTGCTATGGTCTCTCTCTCGATACACGACACGCTCGCCGACTTGGCAACAAGGCTTGACTCCATCGCGCTAGGCGACGAACCTGCCCCCGCCCCTCAGGGCGGGGGCACCCGCCCCCCCCGGGGGCCCTTTGGGGCCCCTCCAGGGGGCGACCCCTCCGGGGAGGCCGGCCTTCCCCGTGCCGGTTCTCCCCAACCAACCCCGCCGGCAGCGCGAGCTGCCGGCCATATTGAGCGGTTCGTCCGCGTCGCGCACCCGTCCCAACCGGGGGCCGCAGACTCGTTCTGCGCGCCAACGGCTGGTGACGCTGTGTTGCCCTCATTAAAAAGCTAGTGAGTATAGTGTCCTTCCCCGGTCGCCTAGCCTCTGCGCTGTCTTGCGAACGCCTGTATGCCATGCGCCGTACCTTAAACTGTACATAACACATCTAAAAGGAGTACGGTCACGTTGCATGCACCTCAGATGCAGGAGGCAAAGCTACCGCCTCACAACAATGCGCATGTGTGTAGCAGGAGCGCCCGTACTGTCGAGGCGCCTCTCTAGATCGGGCACGTCTCGTTTGCGCGCGGAGGCCACAGCACATGACTCTCGGCCGGCGCGCAGTCATGCTGCATGATGAGCTTTCGGGCGCGCTGGACCAGCTGTTCCACTGGCTCGCCACACAAGACCGCGTTGAAGCACAGGCTGCCGTTGGCAGAGGCGGCCTCGACACGAAGAGGGCCGACCTCCTCCGCCGGCCGCACCTGCCCATCTTTGCGGCGGGACGGCCGGAGCTGCCACTCCAGCTGCCGGCAATTGAGCGCACGCTGCGTTGAGTCGCACTGGCACGGCTTCATGCGGCCATCGGACGTCGCCACGTAGTAGTGGTGCTGCGGCGGGCACGACCAATGCACGGAGCCATTGAGATAACTCGCCTGGGTCAGGTTGGTAGGGCGGAGGTCGACGACCATTTTCGCCCCACGCTCGCCCCACGACATGTACTCCGAGTTTCCATGAAGGCCCCACCACGCGATCGTGACCTCGAACTCTCGGTATAGCCTTTGCTCGTAGTTGGGCGGGTCGCCTTTCCAGTGAGCTGGCTGGTTCAGCCACACGCCCGCGTTCGTGTCGCCAAAGGTGGTCTTGTGGCAAGCCGCCGGAGTGCACCAGTCGCGCAGGCAGCGCAGCTCCACATCCTCTGTGAAGCGGTCCCAGAGCCCGTTACCCGTAAAGCGACTCCGGAAGCCGCCAGCGACATTGGTCTTCCGTAACCACTGCGTCTCCACCGATGAATCGGGCGCGTGCACAACCCACCAGGGGCAGGTGTAGTCCATCACCCTCTTGGAAACCTGGAGGAAGATGCCGCTGCCCGGGGTGGAAAAGTGCCACCAGCCTCCGCCGAAGGGCTCTGTACAACATCCGTGCTTTGAAAACATACTCTTGCGCCGCACTTCAATGTAGTAAGAGCCATCCACCAGGTAGACGCCGTCGTGGGCGGGGCGATTGACCATGTATCCCATGGCCGTCTCCTCAAGCACGAGTCCTTCGCCAGGACGCACGAGGGTTTTGTTCCAGCGCAGCCGGACGGTGCTCGGCTTTGGGTGATCAAGATTGGGTGACCAGTAGTAGAATTGAGGCAAACCGCCGTTGTATGCGTGCACGGGCAACCTTGGACGCAGGTGCGCCAGCGGGTGAACCCTGGGCTCAGCGCGTGAGGAACGTGGGACACTCTCGCTGCGCGCCGTCGACTTTGCGGGGTTGCTCGAGGCTTTGCTTGCGACCTTGAGGTGGTGCACGTCGGCCTGCTGGAGCAGCGCCTCTGATCGCTCCACCTTGCCGCCTTGGCCGGTGGACTCCTCCGTTGGCGTTTTTTCGGCGAGAGCTCCGAAGAGGGACGCAACGACTGCCACTTCGCGTAGCACCATATCGCGCGCGGCGACGGACTGTCGCCGACTGCGTCGGCTCGATGCCGAAAGGAGGCTGAACCTGTTTCTGAGAAACGAGTGAGAACAGTGAAAATCGGTAAACAAGTAAACAAAAGGCGTTTCTCGAGGTTCTCGAGGTGGATATCCTTTGGCCGCGTTGGGTAGCGAGGATTGGTGTAACCCGAGCCACGCAGGCGTGTTTTCTGGCGGCCGACCGTCAGTGCACGGAGTTGCCCCTTCTCCGACTGCCCCGGCTAGTTCCCGAGGTCGTCGGGTGTGACCCCTTCGTCCCCCGAGACCTAGCGCGGGGTGGGTTGGAGGGGGCTCGCCCCGTTCCTCCCCATCGGGCCGCGTGGAGCGGTTTGTATTTAATGGAGGGCACACCACGCCCTCTCGCTGGGGTGCCGGCGCCCTACTGGGCGCCCCCTGCTCCCTTCCCCCTAGAGCCCCCCATCCCGCTAACATCCCCCCGCGGTCCCTCGCGGCCGCGCGACGCCGCACCAATGGCGCGCTGTGCCTCGTCCGCGAGCGCCGTCCAGAGCTGCACTGACAGTCGTCATCAAGCGGGCAAAGTCGGCCAGTCGGAAGGGCTGTCACGGGCGGAGCTCGAGGTGAAGCTGCTTAAGGCGGTGAGCCACCCGCACCTGCTGCCGCTGCTCGGCTACTGCCTCTCGCCCGACGGCATCTGCCTCCTCTCGCCACTGATGCGCGGCGGCTCGCTCGAGGCGCGGCTGCGCATCTCGGATCCCGACCGAGCGGCGCAGCTCCCCGGAGGCTGGGCATGGCGGAGGTGCCGAGGCCGCTGACGTGGCGACAGCGCGTTCGCATTGCGTGCGAGGCGACCGAGGCGCTCGTCTACCTCCACTCGAAGGGCATCGTGCACCGCGACGTCGAGCCAGATAACATCCTGCTCGACGAGAAGCTCACCGCCGTCCTCGCCGTCCCGACGCGTCTGTCCGCTGCCGCTCGACCGCCCTTTACATGTCCACGGGCTACCTCTGCCCCTCCATCTCCAAGGGGGGCGAGTACTCGCCAAAGACGGACGGCTACGCCATTGGCATCACCCAGCCTCCTCGTCTGCCTCACCAACCGGACCGAGGTGCAGCTGACCGACCGGTGCGAGGAGGAGTTTGACGAACTCTGGACCAACATCGACGCGTCCCAGATCGCAGACGCGGCGGCGGGGTGGACCGAACTTTCTGCGCGCGCGGTCAAGGACTCGCGCAGGCGGGGGACGGGCAGGAGAGCCTCTGCCACAACAGCCTGCGCAACCGCTGCACGCTGCCCGGGGCGCTCACGACGCTGCGGGCGCTGCTGTCTAGCGGTGCGGGGGCGGAGGAGGCTGCACCGGCACTTGGAGACGAGGCCGCCACTGCAGCCGCTCGCACCACCGGCTACGAGCCTTCGGCGCTCTCGGTGCAGGTGCGCGGCATGCGCACGTCCGGCGACGCGCAGGCGCGCATCCAGGGCAACATGCTGCTCGCCTTCAACACGCTGATGCCGCGCCTCGACCGCGTCTACGCCTCGCGCTCTGCGGCGGCGCCCGACGGCTTCGAGGAGCGCATCGGCGTGGTCGGACGCCCCCTTATCGGTTATCGGAAGTACCCGCCCGGATACCGCCTCTGCCGCCTCCGCCCACATGGACGCCGCTCGTCTTTACCTGCTGCTTCGCCTTCGGCCTTCGGGCACGACGCCTTCGACGTTCGACTTCGAGCTGACCAGTGTAGCGGTCTCGGCTTGGCGGCGGCGATGGCATTGCTCGCTCTCGTCTTTACCTGCTGCTCACGCTGCCGCGAACGCTCCCTCTTCCCAAAGCGTTCGCCCGGTTTCGCCCGGCGAAGCTTGCACTTGAGATCCATCACCAATCCCCCACTCTGTTGCGGATAGGCGGTTGATGGACAATGCCGATGACGAGGGCCACACTCCGCAGCAGGAGCGCTCCGACCGGTCCGGCTCTGGGAAGCTTCGCGCGTGAGGCGTGTGAGCGTGTCTGGTGATGGTTGGCACGAAACAACGGTACGACCTTCGTACTCACTGAGACGGGCGGCAACGGCGGGGACTCTGTGGTCCGCCAGGCCACTCTGCGTTTGACATACTCGAGTACAGTCGTGTTGTCCCTGCCGCGGTTAGCAGGTGAGTCCCTGCCGGTTCGCGGTTGTGGTTGTGTTGCATGGTCCATGGATCTGTCATTGCCGTCTCTCTCTTCTCGACTGTCTGTGCTTGTGCGTATTGGGTCAGGTAGTGTTTTTGGTGAACAGCTTATGTGAACGGCGCGTAGAGCTGCCAAACACCGGAAACACAGCATGATCCTCTACCGGAAGGGCGCCTCCCTGCGCGTGCTCGTCCGCTTCTCTGGCTCCGTCCTCCCCTCGGCCGCGCTCGTCGCGACTTACTCCGCAGTCGTGGCCGTGCTCCTCCAGATCTACGTGCCCGAAAAGTCGCTCGACAAGATCTTCGACGACCCCTACCCGTTCCAGCCGGTGGCGCACATCGTCGGCGTCGCAATCGTCTTCGCCACAAACGTCGCGTACCTGCGCTACTGGGAGTCGTGTTCCTCTGTCACATACATGTCTGCGCGCTGGGGCGACGCCGTCGCCACCGCGCTTTCTTTTGACGAGCTGCGCCGCGGCGGCGAGCCGGCCGACCCCGTCGAGAGGAGGGCCGCGTGGCGCGAGCGGCGCCTGTCGCAGGCGTCCATCCTCCACCTCGCCTCGCTGCTCCACGGCCTCGCGCTCCTCTACCTCCGGCGCGACTCCCAGGGCGACGTCGCCTCCCTCATGCACGCCGACAGCGCGGACTACCCCGACGCAGACGTCGAGCACGAGAGCGGCCAGGACGAGACCTCGCCGCCGCCCCCACCGCACCCCTCGCCGCCGCCCTCGCCGCCGGCATTGCGGCCGGCCTCGCCGCCACCGCCATTGGAGAGCGCGCGAGAAGAGCCGCTCCCGCCCGCCTCCCCCTCCCCCTCCTCCGCCCCGGCCGAGGACACGCCCGCCAGCCTCCCCGCCGCCGCCGCCGCCGTGCTCTCCGCCCGTTGGATGCAG